ATTCTTCTCACTGGTTGGGGACTCCGAAGAGCAATGCCTTTACTTCCCAGCAATCAATAATACCATGTGATGGGGCTGGAGCCATGGTATAGCTTTTAGGGCATTTGCCTTGCAACTGACCAACCCGGGTTTCATCCCTGCCATCTGTTATGGTCCCAAAGACTGCCAGGAGTGAGTCCTCAGTGTAAAGCCAGCAAAAACCACTAAGTATGGCCAGGTGTGGCCCCAAAACAAAACAAATCAAGCAACAAAACCTACAAACCAAGTGACACAGTCAAAACCTAGGAAGCTGTTTTATGAGCCCAAGAAACTGCAAGCGCCAGTGTTCTGACTTTCACTTCAGATCTCTCTACATTTGCTCCTGAGTCTCCTAGGAGTTAGAAGTATTCCTGGTCCCTGTGAATATTTCCCCAAAGTTAACTTGTGATTTATTATAAGCACATCTGAAATAAGGTGGGAAATGACGTATAAGATAAGCAAGACTCACAATGACCAGAAACTCAGCTTCCCTGTGTGTTCTGTGTCTGAGGATGCTTTGCAGATCCCAATGCTGTAGCAGCAGCAGCAGCTTCTGGGACTGCACGGAAGCCATAAAGCCTCATCAGTGAATGTTCTTAGCTGGAGCCACAGCACCCCTGGATATCACTGCTCACAGTGTCTCAGTGTGGGGAAGTTTCCTGTCTCCCTGTCTGTGTCCTGAAATGAGCAGGTTGGATTCAAGGACAGCAGTGAGTAATGAAAGTTTAGTAGAGTAAAGAACTGCTCTGGAATGGGGCTGAGACTAGGGAAGGCTAAAGCAATGCACAGCTGCTGTGGAGGACTCTTACAGGGACTGGGGCACACAGTGTCACTAATCAGGCCTAAACAGTTTTCACAAGTCTTGGGTTTTTTCTACCCAGCTCCCACAGATGTTTTGTTTAGAATTTTGAAAAAAATCTTCGCTACACATCCATCCTGTTTCTGCTTGCTGATTCTTGTATCCTGTGACCTTATCACGGGGACATTACATCTATTGGCCTCTTAAGGACACTGAAGAACCTACAGATTAATTCAAAATTTAAGATGGTGAGTGTTGTCAGATACTCTCTCCTGGCACCTGGCATGGGGAAAAACTGAGGTTTTGCTGTCATTAACCTGCCCTGTGCTTGTGGGATCCAGTGTGCAATGAAGAGAGATTCGCTAAAGCCTCACTAATAAAAAGTAGGAGCAAGTGTATTATTTCGCCTCAACTGAGACGTAAGTTGAATGGAGAAGAGAAACAGATGGCTGCCTGAAAATAAAGCTTTTCCATATTGCAAACCTCAGTTGTAAAAGGTAAAGGTAAAGGTAAAGGCCCTCCCGTTGATCGTCGATTTGCTCGAGCGGGCCCAGTAACGTCTCCATTGGAGACTTTGTTGTTACTGTGTCTGGCATATTGAATACTCTCGGTAGCTTGCCGGGCTCTCCGAGAGGGGCGGAGGAATCGAACTCGGGTTGGCCATGTTGGCCGTTTGTAAGGCGAATGCCCTACCCGCTGTGCTATCGCTCCAGCCCTTCAGTTGTAAGAGCCATTATAAAAGTACACATGCAAGTTTCTGAAATAAACAGGAACAGTGACCCATGGGGCTGTTAAGGAAATTGCGGGATGGGCAAATGTCAAGTCTGGACCCTAGAGTTGCCTGATCCCATGGGTGCTCCCTGTTGGTGGTTGCTGCTGTGAGGGCTGTTGGGGTCTGACCTGGGCATCAGATCTGCACCAGGAGTTGGGGCTGAGACAAAAAAATTTCTGCAGGTACAGAAGCTCAGTCTGAATAAAAACAGTGAAAATATAAACTACGCTGAAACATTGTATAACAAAATATCAAAGAATATCTTTTTTTGGAAAACTGCTTTGACTGTCCTTTTGGTTTGTCTCATTTTCTGAGCGATAGCACAGCGGGTAGGGTGTCTGCCTTGCACGCAGCCAACTATGGCCGACCCGAGTTCGATTCCTCCGCCCCTCTCGGAGAGCCCGGCAAGCCACCGAGAGTATTCGATATGCCAGACACAGTAACAACAAAGTCTCCAATGGAGACGTTACTGGGCCCGCTCGAGCAAATCGACGATCAACGGGAGGGCCCATTTTCTGAGACCAGTCCTGCAGGTTGGAAACTGGAAGACCAGTTTGGCAGCAATCAGTGTTAATATGCAAATATACATATTAATAGTGCCCACATCAATACTCATAAGAAACATTCAAAATATGCTCACAAAGAGAGGCTATTTCATTTTTTTTTTAATTTTTTATTAGTGAAACACCATGAGGTACAGTTGTAGACTTACAAGATTTTTTGCTTGGCTTTCAGTTATACAATGATCAAGTACCCATCCCTCTACCAGTGCCCATTCTCTACCACCAATGATCCCAGTAACCCTCCCCTTCCATCCCCCCATCCCACCCCGCCTCTGTGGTAGAGCATTTTGTTTTGTTCTCTCTCTCCTTTTGGGTGCTGAGGTTTGCAAAAGAGTCATTGAATGGCAATCATGTTAGGTCTATAGTCTATTTTCAGTATGCATCTCTCATCCTGGGAGGATCCTCCCAACATCCTTTACTTGGTGTTGCCTTCTCTATCTGAGCTGCCTTTTCCCCTAGCATGTGCAGCTGGCCTTCAAGTCATGGAGTGAACCTCCTGGTACTTATCTCAACTACTCTTGGATGTTAGTCTCCTATTTTCTTACTTTATATTCCCCAGATGAATGCAATCTTTCTATATCTGTCCCTCTTTCTGACTCATTTCACTTAGCATGATACTTTCCGTGTAGTATGACTTCATCTTTTCTAACAGCTGCATTGTACTCCATTGTGTAGATGTACCAAAGTTTCTTTAACCAGTCATCTGTTCTTGGGCACTCAGGTTTTTTCCAGATTTTGGCTATTGTGAACAGTGCAGCAATGAACATAGAAGTACAGATGTCATTTCGGCTATGCTTTTTTGCCAGGAGAGGTTATTTCACATCAAATGGAAATATTATTTAAAGAAATAACAGTTGTATAAATTAGAACCACACATGTTTTCTGTGACTATGTAAAGTGTGTGGAATGTGTGTTATTTTGTGTGTGTGTGTGTCTGTGTGTGTGTCTGTGTGTGTGTGTGTGTGTGTGTGTGTGTGTGGAGCATACCCAATCATGATCAGAGTTGTTCCAGGCTGAAGGTGGTGCTTAGGGAAATAAGCAGTTATGTGTATTGAACTCTGAACTCCACCATGCAGAGTTTGTTTTGAAATTTTCAGGATTTAGTGCCATCACCTCAGATGAGCAATATTTTTTCAAGGTACTTTTCTAGTTCCCTAAAGTGTTGAACAAAATTATTACCTTGTGATGCCATAACTCTACTTCTATATATGTTCTCAAGAACAATGAAAATATGTTACAACAACAATGATCACTATGACTTCTGGGGGATGACTTTTGTAGTCATGCTTTGACAGCATATAAACTTTAAGTCCTGGGGTATATTGTTCCTAGGCCAGAATACTGGAGAGTCTCTCTGTCCTCTTAGTGCTCTTTCTGCTACTTCCTCCCTACTGCAGGAGCAGTATCTAGTGAGAATTGAAATATTAATGAGACCAGCACACAGGGAAAGTGATTAGAGACAGCAGGATGTAGTGCTAAGAGGCAACAGCAAGACAGAACTGCATCTGGTCACACCCTGTTTCTCTAAGTGTGGGATATTACCCCTAAGTCTTTTAGGCTTCATCAATGAATTCCCTTTTCCTATATAAATTAGAAATTGACTATAAATACTTCTTTCTCTGTTTATGCTATACTTTGACTTTTACTTTGACAAGCTCTCTTACTTAGGAACAATGCTACTCATTCTTAGCATATATGTACACTTTATTTAATTCTTTTTTTAAATTGAATTACCTTGAGATACACAATTACAAACCCAATCATGGTTGGGTTAGAGTCATACGGTGTTCCAAGACCCGTCCCTTCATTAGTGTACATTTCCCACCTCCACTGTCTCCAGTTTCCCTCCTGCCACAACCCCAACTCTACCTAGCCTGCCTCTACAGCCCTGCATTTTCACTTTTCTTCTCTGTCTCTGTCTCTCTATCTCTCTCTCACTCACTCTCTCTCTCTTTATCTCTCTTGCTCCCTCCTTTTGGGCATTATTTCTGCACTACAGATACTGAAGGGTTATCATGGATATCCCTTCGACTCCTTTCAGCCCTTAATTTGTATTCAGAGTGATCATCTCCAACTCTCATTGTCATAGTGGTCTCCTCTCTGTCTTAACATACCCTCCTTCCCCCCACACTCATGGCAAGCTTCCAATCATGGACCAGTCGTCCTCTTGGCCCTTGTTTCTATTAACCATGGTGTTAGCCCCATACTATGTTTTGTTTTTTTATATCCCGCAAGTGAGTGCAATCTGTAACACATTCTTAAATGAATAGTGTTCTCTAATAAAGATTTTTATAATCTTTATTTTTCTGACCTTGAGTTTGTACTCACTCTTGTGGGTCACATAAACCTGTCCAAGGATCTAGAATTAACTGCTTTAGTCCTGACTGTATTCTCTCAACACTTGCACAAGCACTTCAAGGGAGATTGAATAGGGATTGTTTCAGCACTTTTATGCTCGAAGAAAAGGTTTTTATGTCCTAAGAAAAAAATCACTAATGTGAATTAACATATGCAGAGTATTTCCTTCATAAAAATGAATCTACTGATGAGCAATTAACAGGACACTTTATGGTCTTTTTATTAAGAGGTTTAGACGAACCTCTAAATAGGTTTGCCATGTGTGGTGCTTGCCGAGAGTCTTTATATCCAATCATTGAATGCAAATCTTTTAGGTTTCTACTAAAGCTTGGCATCATTCTAGATTACGGGAAACAGTGAAGAAAGCAACCAAAATTTCTGCGTTCACAGAATTTGAAACTGATTCCTTGAGCTTGACACAAGAATAAAAATACTGTGCTTTTCCCTTACAAATCCTACAAATTTTTTTCTTACAAATTTCTTACAAATATTAGTCACGAGGGTTCAAATATGTCTCTTTTCCAATACAGAAATAAGGCCTGATAGGCTCAGGAAAAGAGGCCTTTGGGAAAGTGAAGATGTGGGAACCAGTTTCCACGTTATAAAAGGAGATAAGTCCGACCTCATAGTCTAAGAAAACCCCTATATAAGTAACGTTGTCCAGAGAAAGAGGAGTTATGGGAGACGTCAGTGCAACATTGTCATTGTTTTCACAATGTCTGATGGCCCAGAATCCAGTCTCAGGCTCCCGTATCATGAAGTTGTCTCTTGGCACATTTTCCAGACAAACTCCTACATCCCAATCAGATTCTCCTACAAAATAGATTTCAAAATAATATTTTCCTGAGGTGAAGGCCTCACATCCCAGGACACAGGGTAAGTCTTTAAACCTAGCTTGAGTGTCCTGCTTCTCTTGGGGACTTCCACCAATGACTGTGTTTTCATCCTCGTCCACCTGTAGGTCATTGTGGGCTGTATCTGGATCTAGAGTAACCTTAACTGCAAAGAAATTAATAAATTTTAGAAGAAGAAAACAAAAGAACATGGTTACTTTATGCATAGTAAAAGTAAAAAGGCCCTCCCGTTGATCATCGATTTGCTCGAGCGGGCCCAGTAACGTCTCCATTGGAGACTTTGTTGTTACTGTGTTTGGCATATCGAATACGTCACGGGGAGCTTGCCAGGCTCTGCTGTGCGGGCGGGATACTCTCGGTAGCTTGCCAGGCTCTCCGAGAGGGGCGGAGCAATCGAACTCGGATCGGCCATGTTGACTGCGTGCAAGGCAAATGCCCTACCGCTGTGCTATCACTCCAGCGATATGCATAGTATTCAGTATATTCCAAATATTATCAGTGCGTGCACAAAAGATTTCTTTCTGACAGTCTTTAAAGTCATTTTATGAAAAATCATTGTAAAAAATTTTAAAAATCATATCTGTCTCAAAGAAGGGGAGTATTGAAGAGCTAATATACATGCTTAGAAGTGGGCCAGACTGCCATTATGTGGCATTGTAAAATATCTGGTAGCAGCAGCAATATACTATGAAGGCTCTGACTAGAATCCTGTCCTTATTTAATATTATTGCCATCTTTTGAAGTCATGAAATTTATGTACAAGTGGTACTACATGGAAAGTATCATGCTAAGAGAAATGAGTCAGAAAGAGGAACAGGCATAGAAAGATTGCATTCATCTGGAGAATATAAAGTAACAAAATAGGAGACTAACATCCAAGAATAGTCAAGATAAGTACCAGGAGGTTCACTCCATGGCTTGAAGGCCAGTCGCACATGCTAGGGGAAAAGGCAGCTCAGATAGAGAGGGGAGCATCAAATAAAGGTCGTTGGGAGGACCCTCCCAGGACGAGAGAAGCCTGCTGAAAGTAGACTATAGACCGAACATGATTGCCACCCAATGTCTCTTTTGCAAACCACAGCACTCAAAAGGAGAAAGAAAACAAAACCCACAGGAGTGGGTTGGGGTGGATGGGAGGGATAGTGGGAGCATTGGAGTTGATAATGGGCACTGGTGGAGGGATGGGTATTCAATCATTGTATAACTTAAACCCAAGCACAAAATTTGTAAGTCTACAAATGTACCTCATGGTGTTTCACTAAAATTTTTTTTTTAAATTATTATTACCATCTTTCTCACAGTAATATAAGCAGAAGACAAGATAAATATAATTGACATATTTATTTATTCTCTTGTCCAAAGTCCTGCCTATTTTTCCAAATGACACTGACACAGTATCAGAATGGGAAAATACAGTTAATTCCATACTTGGTTATTGAAGACACAGGTTGTTACTGGGGCTGTGGGATGACATTGCTTTGTCCTTTCTCCCTTTCTCCACAAGGAGCTTAGATTTATCAGGTTACACCCATCACAGTGCTCCGGAATCACTCCCATTTTTTCATTTATCGGTAACCACTTCTCTCTGCTCTCCTCCCTAACCAGTTAATCAGCTTTTCCCCTAATCAGACTCTGTTAATTTGTTAGGTCAGATCCTTCTTGGACACTGAAATTGTCACTTAATCACTTAATCACTTAACTTCCCGTTAGTCGTCGATTTGCTCGAGCGGGCGCCAGTAACATCTCCAATTGTCCCTGTCGCATGCTAGTGTAGCCCAATGGCATCTGTTCGCTCCAGGAACATGAAGAGCCTCAAACCAATCGTTCATGATCTTGACGAAGAAGTCTGACCATCTGGTAAGTGGGCGGCCACGCAGTCTTTTGACATCCCATGGAATCCAGTCAGTAACAGCTCTAGTCCAGCGGTCATCTTTAAATCTCATTACGTGACCAGCCCATCTGATTTTCGGCACCTTGGCAAATGAGACAGCGTCCCTGATTTTTGATCGTCGACTGATGTCAGAACTCCGGATTCTTTCTCTCATTTGAGTGAAACGTGATATTCCAAGCATAGCTCTTTCTATTCTTCTTTGGGAGACCTGAATAGCGTTCTCATCTTGTTTGCGTAGGGCCCAGGTCTCTGAGGCATATGTTAAAGCAGGAAGAACAGTGGAATCAAAGAGATGTGCCCGGATCCGGAGGTTCTTCGTCCTCTTAGCTATTTCTTCGACGTTCTTGGAGGGATTCCAAGCCGCTCTCTTCCTCCTGCACAGCTCGGGTGCCAGATTATTTGTCATGTTGACCTCTCGACCTAGGTACACATAGCTGTTGCATTCGGAGATGGTTGTTCCGTTGAGAGCGAATGGGGCATCAGGAACGAGGCTGTTTCTCATAAACATTGTCTTCGTAAGATTCAGCTGTAGTCCTACCTTTCCACACTCACGGTCAAAGTCGGCCAGCATTTGTGCCACTTGGCTGATGTTTGGTGTTATTAAAACAATGTCATCAGCAAAGCGGAGGTGGTGTAGTTGCCGACCATCTATCTTCACTCCCATTCCTTCCCATTCCAGTTGTCGCATGATGTTCTTGAGGGTGGCACTGAAGACTTTCGGTGAAATGGTATCACCCTGCCGCACCCATCTCTTGACATCAACGATCACTTCTTTGTAGAATGGTGAGATCCTGGTAGTGAATCTGCAATATAGCTCACGGAGGATCCTGATGTATTGGGCTTGAATGCCCTGATTGGCTAGGGCTTCAATGACTGCTTCCGTCTCAACAGAATCAAAGGCCTTCTTTAAATCAATGAACGTTAAACAGAGCAGCATCTTGAACTCCCGAGAAACCTCAATGAGCTTGGTTATCATGTGGATATGGTCGATGGTGCTGAATCCTTTGCGGAACCCTGCTTGCTCGCATGGTTGTCCTTCATCTAGTGTTCTGCCAATCCTATTTAGGATGACTCGAGTGAACAACTTGTAGATGACAGACAATAGGCACATCGGGCGATAGTTGCCAATGTCATGGATGTCTCCCTTCTTGAACAGTTGTACGGTCCTGCTGGTTTTCCATTGGCACGGAACCTTGCATTCAGACAGGTAGCGAGTGAAGAGCCGAGCCAGTGTATTGATGAGTACTGACGGCAGGTTCTTCAGGTGTTCAGGTCTGACCTTGTCTGGGCCGGGTGCTGTTTGTTTCTTTACCGACGAAATGGCGTGTCAGATTTCGGAAGGGAGAACATTGGGAACGACATATCCATCCTGTGGAATTTGGTATGTCGGCAAGTGGACATGGCTATTGAAGAGATTTGAGTAGAAGTCATGGATAATCTTCTCCATTGCCGTTCTGGAGGATGTAATGGATCCCCAGGATGTCGGAGGGCAGTCATCTTGGTCTTGTAGTTGGCGAAAGACAGGCGGGCGTTATGAATACTTTTCCCGGCTTCTGCCGCATCTACCAGTACTTCTGCTCTTCTCTCTTTGAAGTCTTCCTTGATCGCATCTCTGCACTGCTTTGCAAGCTCGGACATTAGCTTGTGGTTGCCTGAGGCATGCGCCAAACCACGCTGGCGAATTAGCTCAAGAGTTTTAGAAGATAGGCGATTTTTTGTGGCTATCTCTCTCTTGGCATTCCTCGCACATTCATGGAGGTGCTGAACCAATCGATCATATTCCTCCTCAATGTTGTCAACAATGGCATCTTCCCATGTTGCCGCAATAGTACCAAAGAGTTCCCAGTTGGTGGTCATTCTGGGAGTTCTCTTTTTGAACTTTGCAGCCCTTTCTCCCCGCTCTGTGAAGTAGAATTTTGCACGAAGGAGATGGTGGTCCGATCCTGTTCGAAATTTTGGGACAACAGCGACATCAGTCAGGCAAAACCGTCGATTGAATATGATGTGGTCTATTTCGTTGTGGAATCGTCCACTGGGAGACTCCCATGTCCATCGTTTAGATTCTGCCTTTTGGAACTGTGAGTTACCATGAATGGTCTTGGTCGACATGATGAACTCAGACAGAAATTGTATTGGAAGTTAATATTGCCTTTCTCCTCTCCTTATGTCTTATGTCTTTTGAATAGTTTACTTTAAAGCAATGTCCTTTTTGTATAGATACAGGAAGTCCTTAGGATTTAATTGGCTTTTAATATTATTTACTCCCGGGCATCTGCTTTCTTCACTTAAGCCTTATTGCCCTTGGTTCCTAACACCCCCAAAACAGGGTCCCGACAGGGGACTGAATGGACACAGGGTAAACGGTGAGCTACCCTGGCATCAAAATGGGCCAGGCCAAAGTGCCACGATTCTCAACTATAAGTTAAGAGTTTGATCATAGACAAATGCTGTCATGATCCAAAAGTAACGACGGGACTAGGACCCTGCTAGGGATAGGAAAGACTACCTGGCCTGAGCACTTTAGTCTGAGATCAAGATGGTCCTAGGAGGGCAATTCTATAAGTTTAAGGTATTTTTTACTTTATCCATACAAAATGATTTATATTATGAATGCTTATATGTTTGTTGGACAAGGAGAGGAGAAACACACCCATGGGATTCTTCTCTAGGGTGGGTCATCCTGCTGAGAGAGTATCTGTCCTAGAAGCAGCTTTCCCGGGGGAAAGAATTCTACCCCTATTGTTTGTGACCACACCTGTGTGTAATTGTTATCCCAACCCCTCATGCTTTGGGATTTAACTGTACTGTAAGAGTGGGCTGGGGGATCAGAATCGAGACTCCAGAGAAGAAGAAAGGGATCAGAATCCAGACTCCAGAGAAGGATAAGAAAGGGGATCAGAATTCAGACTCCAGAAGGAAAAGGAGAAGGGAGATCGAGAAGGGGAATGAAGTAGCATGGGGGAGGAGGAAGCAGGGGAGGAAGAGGAGAGAGACAGGAATGAACGGAGAGAGGATTGGAATAAACTGCAACTAAGACCAACCAGCCTGGCCCTCGTTTCCTTCCTTCGCCTGCCCATTACCACTGACCTCCCCCGGGGTGGGGGAAGTGGGTGAGGCTACCGAACTCTGGCGGGAGTACAGATAGACCGTTGCCACTGCTGTGTTCTTTTTGAGTTTACACAGGGGCCTTAGGACACATGGCTACTCTTCAACTTTAAGTATCCGCTCTCTTGGGATTCTCATGCACAATACGCACTAGTAAAAGATTATGTACCAAGGACAAATGTACCAAAAATGATCTGAGTAAAGTTAAGGATGAAAGAAATAGAATGATCATTATGGTACTAAGAGCACAATTTAAAAAACAAAACATTTGTTTGTTCCAGCTAGAGAGTTAAGTCAATTAGTCACCTAATGTCTCCTTGTAAACACTGAGTAGATGATCAGAAGGACATAAAAATAAGGTATACAGAAACACTTCTTTCTGTTTTTTTTTCAATCTCCAAACCATTCCCCATCTTTTAATGCCTTGTCTTCCTAAACATATGACTTCTGGGAAACCAGCTTCCTTCCTTCTACCTGATTTCATTTTTCTTAGCCAATGAGAGTGTTGGAGAGAATGAGTGAAACAAAGAGGTGGAGTGGCAATCATTACTATGAAAGTTTCTCCCCAGTGCTCTGAGAGTCTGCACTTGTCTTTCTCAGGTCACACTCTGTCCTGTTCTTCAGATCCCTCCACCTTTATTTGAGTCCCAGCATGATGAGGACTCCCTCAGTATATGTGTGCTGGTTCCTTCAGTGTTCTTTAATCATTGTCCTAAATCTATTCTCTGTTTAACTCACTTATCAAACTCTCCTCAATGAGTTCTTAAAAGGAGCTGACTGAACACATTTGGAATTTTATTTATAATACTTAGATTGGTTAAAAAATAAACCTTGTTTGCAATACCACAACACCCAAAAAGAGAGAGAGAACAAAAGAGTATGTTCTGCCACAGAGGTGGGGTGCGGCGGAGGGGACGGGGTGGGGGCGGTGGAAGGGATGCTGGGACCATTGGTGGTGGAAAATGGGCACTGGTGGAGAGATGGCTACTCAATCATTGTATGATTGAAAAACAAGTATGAAAGATTGTAAGTCTGTAACTGTACTTCACCATGGTTCACTAATAAAAAATTTAAAAAAAAAAACTTGTTTGAAAAAATACCATCAAAATGTGGCGAAGAAAGAAAACCAAAAAAGGGGAGAGAAGAGATGAACAGACCCTTCCTCAAAGAAGCCATGCAGATCACCAATAGGCTATGAAAAAAATTTTTTTCTGTCACTTATTATGAGGGAAACACATATCAAAATGGCAATGAGTTATCATCTCACACCAGTGACACTGGCACAAACCAAAAAGAACAAAGCGATCAGTGTTTGAATGGGTGTGGGGGAAAGAAAGCTTCATTCACTGTTGGGGAAAGGTCACTTGGTTCAAACTATTTAGAAAATGAACAAATATCAAAATAAGAATGAGGCTTCTATATGACACAGTCATTACACTTCTATGCACACTTAAAAGGATTCATACAACTCATTTTGAAGTTGATGAGGTCTGAATTATAAGAAGCTTTTCCCTTACCTACCTAGCAACTGTATCCATTATCACCCATTATAATGGCATAATATTCTCACAGTGTGTATACACTACATTTTCTTATATGAAACATGTCAGGCTAAGCATGCCTTAGAATTCAGAACAGTTTTCTGTCATAAATGCAAATTTGTATATCTATACTCTAAGTATGGGGACACACCCAGTGCGCATTTCATCACCACTCCTACACTAAACAAAGTCAAACAAAAATGACTAAATACTGTCCAATCGAGGACAGTGAGGCTGGCAGACTAACAATGACTTTAATAGTCCCCACTGAAATCTTGTGAACTACTATGTTCTTTGCTCTTGGGCTGGAGCGATAGCACAGCGGTAGGGCGTTTGTTTTGCACGCAGCCAACATGGACGACCTGAGTTCGATTCCTCCGCCCCTCTCGGAGAGCCCAGCAAGCTACCGAGAGTATCTCGCCTGCACGGCAGAGCCTGGCAAGCCACCCATGATGTATTCGATATGCCAAACACAGTAACAACAAAATTTCCAATGGAGACGTTACTGGGCTCGCTCGAGCAAATCGATGAACATGGGGAGGGCCTTTTTACTATGTTCTTATTGGATTGGGGTGGCGGGGAGGGGGGTGTTTGAGGGCCACACTTGGTGGTGTTCAGGACTTACTCCTGACTCTGTGCTTAGTGATCACTCCTGGCAAAATTTAGGGGATTTTGGAATGCAGGAATCAAACCCGAGTTTCCTGTATGCAAGGCAAACACTCAAACTACTATACTGTGCTCAGGCGTAACACTGCATTATTTTTAACCACTAGATTTCCATTAAAATAATAAAGTTTTCATAGTGGTTCTTATTTTATAGTCTAACAAATCATGGAAAAATCTTAACTTTTAGAGTTTTGTTTTTAAGTGCAATTTTCGGTTATCATGGAAATAAAGCAAGTATGGAAAGAATGATGTAACAGCAGTTTTTTTTTACTAGGAAGCACTTGGTTTTCATATGGTTCAAACATTTATTATGCTACTTGGTCTATCCCTAAAACCACTGGCAGCACAGTCTTCACCTACCTTTCTGAAATTAATTTGAAAATTGAATATCATAAACATAATCCTTATGTTCCAACCCTGTTCTCTATACTTTGTGTAATTGATGATATCTTTTTAAATTTGTCACAGTACACTGAGTGGGAAGTGTTAATATTTTGTTATGTATACAGGACAGATATTAATGTTATTTACCTGGGAGATATCACTAGTGAACTAGAAGAAAAGAGGTTGAAATATCATCAAAATCCAATAATCTAGCAGAACCTTCCCAGAGTAGTAAAACGACTTTCCTAGTTTTCCTCCCACTAGTATTATTTCAAGAATTTTGGATGTCACATACCCTTATCAGTCTCAAACAATGTCAGCAATTGACAGAAAATGCTATCTACATCAGGCATAACTTGAATATCCAACGAGACATCCTCTGGTGCATTTATACTGATAGCCAAAATCCTGGTTAAGAAGAGTCAAAAAACTTCATCAGAGTCACATTCCATTAGACTCCATATTGCAACTATCTCTCCCCCCTGAATTCAAAGAGCACTTACCTGTGCAAAGTGTCTGTCACATCCTATAGAGCAATAAAGATAGATGTTGGTATGGAAATATTAAAATTTTATAGAATCTTGATAGGTGGCTGTTTCTCTGAAACCTTGCCAAGGAGCAAATGCAGTGGTTCCAATCCCATGTATTAATCAATTCCCTGGGAATGATTCCCATCCCAAGTTCCTTGTACAGGATTCTTTAACCCTTTCCCACCTGTGGTACAATACCTGTAGGCCTATCTTTCCAAGGACTAGCAGTTATATCCACTGCAGTAAACCATTAATATTCACCCTTTCTATCCTTGTTTACTAGCATGAGTACATTCACAGAGTTTGAGAGAATCACTGAAACAGTATAATATCATGACAGTATCTGATCAACATCAGAGTATGTTTTCTTTCTATGGTGCATGAAGTTATTGCTACAACCACATAACCTGTGAGCTGTTTGGAGGAAAATTGGGAGCTGTCTCATACTGGCTCACTCTTTTGCATTCAGTGACCTCATTTATTCTGAAGAGGTCACAGTAGACATGTTTGTCACAAAGGTCCTCACAGGATAATTCATGTACATCCCTGGAAACTGATTCACTAAGATGTTGGCAGCAGATTTGCACCAAGATGGAAGGTCTTGCTGTGCGACCTCCATCCTTTATGAAAATAGAATAAGGATCTCCAGGGCTTTATCACAGGAAGCAATAACCTTAATGTTACAAAAACCAGACCTTATAATATCTATTAGAGCAATATAAAAGAATAAATCAAGAGAAAGTTTATCAAACATTTTAGTCTTTGGTTTTAGCCCTCACCAGTCAGCAGGAATATCTTTGAGGAGATTGTTTGACCCCAGATATCTCTACAATTAAGACTTAGGCTAACAAAAATTCTCCCATGGATCCCTGAGAACTGCCATATCTATCCAAGGGGACTTTTTATGATTTACACAAAGGTACGTTATAGAGTAGAGGGTGACATCTCTGTACAGGCGTGTGTATCTAAAAGAAACTTTCCTTTAAATTCTCCATTCTCCATACTGTATGCATTTTTGAGAAAAAAGGAAGCAGACCATTTCTCCATATTCCTCACCATTTTCTCTAAAGTTCCAGGAACTGACGGGTTCAGCCATTCTCCATGTACACAGTCTCACCTGCAATAACTCCTCAGCTGACCCCTGACATTTCCTCTCTAGTTCTTGGATGTGTTCGTTCAGTTCCTGGCTTTGCTTCTCCAGCTGGGCTTCACTGTCCTGCAGTCTCTTCAGAACTTGCTCTTCTTCATTCTCCAGTCTCCATAGATAAGATTTCTCCTCCATGTGCAGGATCATGTGCAATATCTTAAAGTTATACTCTATATAATTTCTTTTACTCAGAATATCAGACTAGAATGAAGAAAGCATATTCAAAAATGGCTGAAACTTTAGGTATATTAAAATAAAAATTTAGTACTTTCATTCACTTAGAATTACGTAGAACATATGGAGACAGGAAGTTTACCTTTCTCAGGAATTTGGTTTTCTCTACATCGATTTGCTCAAGCGGGCCCAGTAACAGCTCCATTGTGAAACTTCTTGTTACTGTGTTTGGCATATTGAAAACTCTCAGTAGCTTGCCAGGCTCTCCGAGAGGGGCAAAGGAATCGAACCTGGCTCTGCCAGGCTGGCTGCGCACAAGGCAAACGCCCTACAGCTGTGCTATCACTCCAGCTCTTTCTCTACATATTACTTGGAATTTTTGTCCTTCTACTACCCAAGGCTGTTGAATTGAGGGAAGAAGGAACACCCTCTGTGAGCCAAAATTCAAAATTCACACAAAGAGTTCATGGCAGAGGTTTGGAAAGACACCCTCAAAAACCTTCTGACCTGTGAAATTTTAATATAAACTTTTGGATTACATCAATGTTGCCAGAAAAACTCTGGATTTCTCTCCTGAGCATTCTGGTCAATCCAGGAATAGACCTTAGTCTACCATCATAGATAATCCTGTACCATATTTCTGTTCAATCTCAACAATTTTGAATATGAATTCCACCTAAGAAAGACAACCTGTTCCTCATAATGATTATTTTCTGAGTGTGGAAATTGACATGCCAGATCCTGCATTGTGCTAAATTTCTGAGTGTTAGTTCTAGGCTTCAAATAGCTAGGTACTTTGAGATGTTTAAAGCTTCTAAACCTGTCAAGATGAATCTATGTAAGGAGAAAACAACTCTGCATATCCTAACTACTATTAGGAATCCTCAACAATTACTGCTGAAAAGTCAAAGGAACACGAGCTCATTCTCATATTGCAGCAAACTAGAAATATTCAAACAAATAATTTGAGATTTTCTCTTTAGTCTAAGAATGAGATTAAAGCATTGTTTGCTTTTGTCTAATCCTTCTCTATAACTAATCTCTATTATATATTAGTTCTATTAGTTCATTACTCAAATTCTTACCTGAAATTTTGTTATTTTCTCTCTTAGGTCCCCTTGCCATTTTTTATTTTGGTCTTCTAGTTTCCTCAGGTATTTCAAAGATTCCTGGAAGTTTTCCTGATGAAAAATTGTTGATGAAGGCTTATGAATTGGGCATTTTTTCATTATGTATCTAGGGGGAGATCACAGACTTTCAAACAGAAAATAATATTGAAATGTGCATGGTCCTTATACTTTCAAGGATACAGACTGAGGGATTTGTGTGAAGTGAAAAAATTTGATCTTCTGAGAGAGGAGTGTCCGCCCTGGAGGCAGGCTGCTGGGTGGCAGACTGAAAAACAATGGGAGGGAAACTGGTAACATCCATGGCGGAAAATGTACACCAGTTGAAGAGATGGGTATTAGAACATTCTATAGCTGAAACCCAATCATGAACAACTTTGTAACTGTGTACCTCATGGATATTAAATAAAACAAAATTTAAAATATAATTTTTGATCTCCTGAACAACCTGAAGGAATTGTTAAGGTTATTAATGTAATTTTTCTATTTTAGAAACAGATTCTTCTGGTAAGCCATGGCCTAAGTTACCAATGCTGCGTTCTGCCATATGAACACTGTACAAAGAAAAAATATAATAATGTATAATATTTTCTATAATGTGTTAAATGTAAAAATAATCGCAGAATATTGACACCTTGACATTTTTATTAATATTGTAAGTATTAGTATGTATAAGTAAGAGTAGGCAAGTACCACTGAAGTTTTTTGTAAGGGTCCAGGATGAATGGAGAGATGTTCAGGAGTTAAGGTGCTTGCATTGTAAGTGCATACCTGGTCCAATCTAAGTTTCAACAACCAGAGCCAGAAATGAACCCTGAGCAGTGAGCCGTGAGTGAGCCCTGAGCACCTCGGTGTGTGTTCCCTAAAACCCAACCCCAATATAAGAGTCAACAGGACAAATGAATGTCAATGAGACAGAGCACATACTTTGAAGAGGATTCTTAGTTTCATCTCCAAAACAGTATTTTCTCTGAGTGCCAACAGATATGATACTGGTATTTCTGAACATTACCAAGTATGGACCCAGTGACCCACAGCACTGCAGGACCCTAGCACTGAACAGTCAGGCCACTGTGTCTTGTATCACATGGAGTGACCACTGGATCATGGGACACTGCTAGGAAAATACTCTTGAGAAAAAATGAAATGGACAGGAAGTTGCTGTAATATCTAATGGAAAAAGTCATTATGCAAGCAATTTTAAATTATTTAGCACCAATATCAAACTTTTTAATTATTTTTCAATAGACTTTTATTTAAGGAGCACACTTTTAAGGTTAACCACTTTTCTATCATAAGAGTAGTATACTTGCTCTATAAAGTCAATATATTTTTTGTCTGAAAATATTGTTATACCTCTCAGTTGTTCAATGCTATCAGTGGCTATATGAAATTCTTTCAAAGAACACTGCTGTTTTCATTGGGCAAATATCTTACAGATATCATTGTTCATGGATATTATGATACCAATCTTTGTATATGAATTAATATGGCTGTTAATATATATGTATATATATTAGATGGGCAGGCATTATAAAGTTTATCTAAAGATTAAAATGATGAAAGCAACATCCTGGATTTCAGATTAAACTGTTTCAGGCCCATGGATGCAAAAGAGAATGGGTACTTGGTGAAGTACTCTGGCCAGTACTCACCTTGTAGTCTTGATATGCATCTGCAAAAAGGACCGTGGTGTGCCCTCTGTGCTGTGGTGTCCGCTCACAGCGCCAGCAGATGAGCTGATCATCATCTTCACAAAACAGGCTGAGCTTCTCTCCGTGGTCCTCACACAAATTTTCCTGCTCCATCTTCTTAATGGTGTCAATGATGTTTCCTAGCAGCCTACTGGGCTGGATGCCCTCCCTTTGAAACTGTGCCCTACATACAGAACACCGGAAGTTTCTCTGTGATGGTGACTCCTGTTGCTGGATCTCAAGATTTTCTAATATGCAAGAATGGCAGTAGAAGTGCCCACAGTCTATCATCACTGGCTCAGTCATCAGATCCAGGCAGATGGGGCAGATGGCTTCCTCCCTCATGGTCTTTGCTGCGGCCGAGGCCATGGTTTTCCTGGAAATCTTTAATGTCGAATCCAGTGGTAGAGATCAAGCAGGTGGGATTTTTCTCTACATGATGAAATAATACGTCACTCGAGCTTGATGGGAGTGACATTTTCAGAGCATTTAGTTGGGTGTGGAATATCATAGTTTTAGACTAGACACATTGAATGCTTTACTATGTGTAGGTACTGGTATAACCATCCCTCCAAATATAGAACACACCATAACCACAGAAATATTTTATGGATCTAGTCTAAGAGAAAGAAGCCAGAAGTTATTTTTCACACAAATTACTGTTTAGCAGAAAGAATATTGGGGAGCTTTTAAAATAGTTTACCCCCAATAAATAAATAAATAAATAAATAAAATAATTTACCCATAACCTAATCATCACAAGTACTTTGTTTCTAATCAATTGCTTGTACTAGTAGCAACACTTAAAGTTATGGCTGTCAAGGAAGAAGTTTCAGTGGATTCATATTTGACTGACAAAAATCTCTCTCTGCATTGTATTTACCCCTAACTCCAAAGAATAATATCAGTTGAATGAAGACAGGGAGATTCCTCTAGAGTGACAATGTAAACTAATAGCTAACTGATATGTCCATTCCATCATCTTCCTGATCTAAAAGGTAAAGGTAAAGGCCCTCCCGTTGTTCGTCGATTTGCTCGAGCGGGCCCAGTAACGTCTCCATTGGAGACTTTGTTGTTACTGTGTTTGGCATATCGAATACGTCATGGGGAGCTTGCCAGGCTCTGCCGTGCGGGCGAGATACTCTCGGTAGCTTGCCGGGCTCTCCGAGAGGGGCGGAGGAATCGAACTCAGGGGTGGAGGAATGAAAGTTGATCTGAGGGAAGTAGAAGAGTAAGTCCTAGATCAGAGCTTCAGATGACCCAGAGAAAATGAATCTGCAGTTGCAAGTATTCCTAAGAAGAGCTCATAATCAAATGACTTCACTAGTGTATGAATAAAATGGATGAAAGAAATTTGCCCCTCTTGTCGTGATACCTGAATTTAGAGCCAGAAATAAACCCTCAGTCCCAAAGCCAAAAATTATGATCAAAAAGGCAATGGCAATGCAATGAAACCACCAGAGGTTTAAAACTCTTCCCTTATGACAACAACTGATAGTGCTTACTTGAACTTCAAGTCAAGGCACTGTGGAGAATATCCATATATGACCCTTCCCAAAGTCATTCAGGGCTCTTGCTCTTCTGGAGACGCTCACAGTCTCTTTTGAATGTGCTATCTTTTGTTTCTCTTCCCTTATAATAAAATTACTTTATGTTAAAACTAACAAAAATATCTTGTTAATAGCCTCTAACCACATGTCAATAAAGTCATTCATTGTTACCAAGTGGGTCTCATTTCTGAGACATGGACGTTTGATATATGCAAATCATAAATGTAATATACCATTTCACTAAACAGGTTAAAAATGAGTAAAATGCCTGTGTAAATGCTTCTCCAAGAAATAAGACTATAAAGTTTTGAAAAAGGGCATAGCTTCTTTGTAAATACTTCTAAAAACACAATTTCCCAATATATGTGAAAAACATCAACATCATTTATTATTAGAGAAGTGAAAACTGAAATAATAATATAGTACGTGCCCAAGGTAAAAAGGCCTTATTTTTTTTCAAACAGTTGTTCACAGTAATTCAATACATTCAATATTTCAACATCAATTCAACCACCATTATACTTTCCCACCACCTTTATTTTGAGTTTTCCCACCATCACCCAAGCCTACCCCAAAGGCATATTTTAAATAATTTATTTTTTATTGCTTGTTATGAATAATTGACTCAAATGATCCAAAAAGTTTTCCTTAAAGGAAAGTGAGTGAAAATTGTTGCATCTTATATTGGAGCCACTAAGGCCAGGAATTCAATATTATTAACATAAATTTAAGGTTTTTTTGTGCTAATCTATATATACATATATTCATGTATATATGTATATATATTTTTATTAATATTTTTCTTCCAATTATATCCCACCAAATATGGTGTGCTACTCTTGGTATATCAGTGAAGGCCTTATTCTTATGGATAATTTAATGGTTGACAATTATATACAGACACTAAGATAAAGGTAAGGTAAAGGTAAAGGCCCTCCCGTTGATCGTCGATTTGCTCGAGCGGTCCCAGTAACGTCTCCATTGGAGACTTTGTTGTTACTGTGTCTGGCATATCGAATACTCTCAGTAGCTTGCCGGGCTCTCCGAGAGGGGCGGAGGAATCGAACTCAGGTCGGCCAAGTTGGCCGCTTGTAAGGCGAACGCCCTACCCGCTGTGCTATCGCTCCAGCCCTAAGACACTAAGATATTCGCAGCATATTTATCCACATTATAGCATCACAAGAAGCTTTTCTAAAATGCTAGATTACTGGCCGGAGATAGAGAAGTTATAATAGATATCATTTATTTCAAAAAGTATTTTCAAAAATATGTTCACAACCCAGAATATTATGAAGATAAGAGGCTGCGCCTTCTTGGTGTTAGATGGAGGATGCCAAGAAGGAGCTAGAGTGAATATCGCCTTCTAGTGGGTCTATTTCTATCACCTTATCTATCTCTATCTCTGTCGGTCTGTCTGTCTGACTCTCTTGAGTCTCTCTCTCTCTCTCACACACACACAAACACACACGCAAACACAAGCACACACACGTGCACATGAATTTTACACTCACCTAGCAAATCTTGACCTTATATTTTTACTCTATGCCCCCCAAAACTCACATTTTTGTTGTCAGTTTCCTCAACAGCTTCTATTTAGTGAGGACTCTACAAGGATGCTCACTGGATTAAACTCTCAAGTGAAATTGCTGTGGTGATCAGATCAACAGTGAAACTGTTGTGAGGTTCAAAGTCCTGTTTGCCACATGTTTAAGTTCACCTTCTGACTGGGTGTGGTCTCCGCAGGAGCAACACCTTTACTCCCCAGCAATCAATAAAACCAAGCAATGGGACTGGAGCCATAGTACAGCTTATAGGGCCTTTGCCTTTCAACCCACTGACCTGGGTTTGATCCCTGGCATCCTATATGGTTCTGGGGGACAGTCAGTAGTGAGTCCTTTAGCACAAAGTCAGAAAAATCCCCTGAGTATTTACATGTGTGGTCCAAAAACCACGAAACCAAACCACACCAAACACCCAACCTCCAAACCAAGTGACACAGTAAAAACCTAGGAAGTTGTTCTCTGAGCCCAGGAAACAGCTAAGAGCCAGGGTTTTGACTTTCACTTCAGATCTCTCTACATTTCCTCCTGAGTCTCCTAGGTGTCAGGAACCGTCCTGGTCCTTGTGAATTTTTCCACATTGCTGTGATTTACTTTAAGCATATCTGAAATGGGGTGGAAAATATGTTATAGATAAGCAGGGTTCACAATGACCAGACACCCAGCTTTCCTCTTTGTTCTGTGTCTCAGGATGCTTCTCAATCTTACTCTGCAGATCCAAATGCTGTAGCAGCAGCAGCAGCAGCAGCAGCAGCAGCAGCAGCAGCAGCAGCAGCAGCAGCAGCAGCAGCAGTTTCTGCGACTGCACAGGAGCCACTAAGGCCTCATCAGTGAATGTTCTCAGCTGGAGACACAGCACCCCTGGCTATCAGTGCTCACAGAGTCTCAGTGTGGGGAAGTTTCCTGTCTCCCTGTCTGTGTCCTGAAATGAGCAGGTTGGACTCAAGGACAGCAGTGGGCAATGAAAGTTTAGTAGAGCAAAGAACTGCTCTGGAATGGGGCTAGAGGAGGCTAAAACAATGCACAACTGCTGTGGAGGACTCTTACAGGGACTGGGGCACGCAGTGTCACTAATCAGGCCTAAACAATTGCCACAACTCTTGGGTGATTTCTACCCCGCTCCCATAGACATTTAGTTTGGAATTTAAAAAAAAAATTTTGCTGCATACCTATACTGTTACTGCTTTCTAATTCTTGTATCCTGTGGCACCATTCAGGGCGGAGTTCATCTATTGACCTCTTCAGGGAAACTGAAGAGCCTGCAGATTTATATGACATTTAAGATGGTGAGTGTTGTCAGATAATCTCTCCTGGCACTTGGCCAGGGGAAAACTGAGGGTTTCACTGTCATCAGTCTTCTCTGTGTTTGGAGTGCAGGCTGGAAAGTTGAAAGACTCAGCCAAAGTCTCACTAATAAAAAATAAGAACAAGTGTATTATTTCTGCTCAACTGAGAATTACTGTTGAATGGAGGAAACAGGTGACTGCCTGAAAATAAAGCTTTTCCATATTGCAAACTTTAGTTGTAAGATTCATTATAAAAGTGAGCATGCAAGTTTCTATAATAAACACAAACAGTGACCATTGAGGGCTGATAGGGAAACTGAGGGATAGGCAGAAGTCAAGTCTGGGTCCTAGAGTTGCCTGACTCCCATGGGTGCTCCCTGTTGGTGGTTGCTGCTGTGAGGGCTGTGGGGGCCTGTCCTGGGCATCAGAGCTGCATCAGGAGTTGGGGCTGAGACACAAAATTCTTACCGCTGCAGAAGTTCAGGCTTAATCAGAACTGGGAAAATGGAAGCTATGCAAAATCATTATGTAATAAACTTTTCAAAGCATATCTTCTTTTGAAGACTTCTTGGACAGTCTTTTTGGTTTGTCTCATTTTCTGAGACCAGCCCTGCAGGTGGGGACTGTAAGACTAGTTTAGTGTTAATATGCAAATATACAGATGAATAGTGCCCAGCATCATAAGGAAACTCTAAATAAACTCACAAAGTGAGGCATTTCACATCTAATGGAAGTTTCCTTTAAAGAAACAAAAGTGGAAAAATGTAGAACTGCACATTTTGTTTGTGACTATGTAAAATGTGCAGTGTGTGTGTGTGTGTGTGTGTGTGTGTGTGTGTGTATTTGGGGGCAGACCTAGTCAGGGTTGATAGTCAGGGTTGTTCCAGGAGGAAGGTGATGCTTAGGGAAATAGGCAGTGCTGTGTTTTGAACTCTGGCTTCGCATGCAGAGCATGTGCTTTGAAACATCCAGCC